CAGATTTAATCCTTCTGTTCTAGAAATCTCGTGAGACGCAAGTGCATTTTCCCTTTTTTCAGGTAAATCAGGGTTGCGGTCCAATTTATCTATTCAAACTAAAATGTGATGATCGACCTACCGTTTTACAAAAAATCAAGTCAATAATCGAAAGCGATGAGGAAGGTGGGTCTCATTTTCTATGTGAGGAAGTGTTCCTATGGGGGTGGAATGGTGTAGTGGCAAGTGGCACTGTTTACCATGGTCCGGGATTAAATTCTAAGTCGTGCACCGCATGGGACAATCATGTCTTCCATCCTTACGTGTCGCTTAATTGGTACTAGATTTGTTTAGGAGGGCAAAACACTGGTTGTCACGTCAGCTAAGCCCCGCGAGTCGTAGATAGGCCAAATCGCATTCAAATGCCACTACGATTCTTAGTGGAAGTAGAATGCATGGGGCATGCATCCTGAATGGGATTGATCAGTGCCGAATGCTTCATGCTTTACCACTTCTATGAATAGTTTGTGGGTGGACGGGGTAGCAGACATGGTCTACAATTAGTAACGCCTGATACATCCTGGATTTTTGCTCACTTCTTGTTTTTACAATTTTGAACAACTACTCCCCAAAATTTTCTGAGTTCTATGTTTTCTTTTTCTTGAATCTAACTATTTTTCTTGTGATATATTTATAACTAGTTATTTTTTGCCCGAAGGCAGTTTGCTCTTCCTGATATTCAGTTCTTATTCGAGTATTTAAGTACTCACCAATGGGAAGCACACTCCAAGTTTCACTCATGCTAGAGAACAAGCTAAAGGATATTTTGACTCCAAGAAGTTTCCTGAGGTTTGTCTACCTAGCATTCATACTTTTTTGGATTCCAGGTTTTCTACTTAAATGCTCTTAGCTGGTTAAATGATTGCGCATTATGGCTAGTCTTTTATTCAGAAAATGCGCTCCACTTATGACTTTATCGAACTGCAATAAAGAAATTTGAGCACGGATTTGTGCAGTATTGAGATAGTAGAGGTTTGGTGAATTTAATGTTCTAGGCTATCGAGATCTACAGCCGGGCTCTTAGTCTCTCACCCGGCAATTATGATCGAAGTATACTTTTGGCGAATCGTGGTATGGGTTACCTTTGTCGTAGGTGGGAAGGCGATTCTTATGCATGTGTCCGTGACTGTGTGGAGGTGAGAGCTTTTTTACTTTTTGATTATTATTTTTTACCAGATTGGTTGCGCACGCATTCGCGTGCATCATGCGAGACTGAAATGGTATAGAACAGGGCTACCGATATTTTTATGCTTCCTGACAAACTCTGGCCACTTTGGTGCACGCCCACTCCCGAATGCACTTGGTCTCCCTTCCTTCGCCAACCTCTCACTATTTTCTTCCTTCTATTAGGTTGTCCCATAATTAGTGAATCACTTTGGGTATTTTTGAATTCAATTTTTTTCTTTTTATTCGAAGTCCTTGCTCATCCAAACATACACCTCTGTCATCTATATCTATTTGGGAATTAAGTCGCTGACTTTCTTATGAAATTGCGGGAGGTCTTGAAGTAAAAGTCGACTTACCAACTCAGTCGTACCTTTATTTTCTCCCCGATTTTCGGGCTATTCTATGACCGGACTCGTAATGTGTTTTGTGCTTCCTGACCCATCCCCATCCATCCCATACTTGACGCGGACTCTGTGGGTGGTTCTTCAAGTAATGAATTTCTTGACAGACGGATAGACACAGACAGGCAGCGCATCATATATAGGAGGGATTGTTGTGATAATTGCATTGTTTCACCTAATGTTTGAAATGAATGATACCCCATCTATAAAATGTACTTATTTGTGATATCATCAACCTTTTCATATTTTTAACAGCTACTTTTTGAGGCACTGCTTCTTTATCCTGGAAATTCCAAAGCATTGTGGCGGCTCACACGATCGTTAATGCTTTTGGAGCAGTGGGAGTTAGCACAAGAATGTATTGAAGTTTTCAAAAAACGGTTCCCTAATGATCGATCAATTGTTCGTCTCTCTGATCAGGTCAGTTGTTACGTTGACATTTAGAGGTGCAACATTAGTTTTTCGAGCTACAGCAGTCTTGGTCTGCTGTACAGCTGAAAGTTACTGTTCTAGTACCAACGCTATTGCATTCGTAATCGCTAATAAAGTGAATTAGGACAGTGCTTTAGAGTAAAAGCTGGATGATAGAAAGGAAATAATTCCAAAAAAGATTAGTGTATATCCAGTTTTGGATTGTGTGTAAGTTCCATCAGCATAGGTTGGTTTTCCAAGATAAGTTCGGCGATGGATTCCGCACATGCCTTCAAGTCTCATTCAGACCGTAGACAGCAACGTTGTTACTATGTAGGCGTTCGGGTGACCCTCACTGGCCGAATGCAACTTTGCGATTGACCGCGATTTTGCACCAATTGCCAGGAGCGACGGATCGCTTGAGCGATGCGAGCGACGGGAGATTTACGAACTGATGGCGCCGAATTATCGTTGGTCGGCGGTGTAAATCTCCCGTCGCTCGCATCGCTCAAGCGATCCGTCGCTCCTGCAATTGGTGCAAAATCGCTCCAATCGCAAAGTCTGACATCGGCCACTCATGGCATATGGTGTTACGAATTCAGTCTAGAAGAGCTGTTATTGTCGATGCAAGTCAAAAATACAGTTATGATCAAAACACTTGTATCGCTCGGAAATCGAATTTTGATCTTGTGCTACCTTAGCTTGTTGATTTATTCATGGGCCAATTGATTTCGCTATAGTTATGGTAAAATGCATAGTTAAAAAAAAATTAGCGATTAAGTCAAAACATCCACAGGGCTGCAACAAAGTCTTACTAGTAGCAGGGTAAAGAAAATGTACATTTGATTGACTAGATTTTTGTCCCGTAAATATGGTGCAAAAACTCATATCATTAGGGTCAGTCAAAAGTGGTACGATTCCCATTTCTTCGCACCTAATTAATTATGCCTCGCTCCGAGGTGCGAAGCAGCCCTAATTGAGTGGGATAACTCAGAGGTCATGATGCCACCTCCACATCCCTATTGATTGAGCAAACAGCCACTACTTTGGGAAATCAACAAGTGTGGAATGAAAAAATGCCACTCTGAGTGACGATACTAGTAATTCACAATACCTGAGTGATATTATCATCGAAAAGATAAGCCTACGACCCGAAACATTCAAATTTTTGGATATGAAAGTTACATAAAGGTTTTGAATCCGAGATGTGAGCCGATGCCCGAGGTGAAGCTCCGCTGAGCAAGCTACACATGCTCTTGTATAGCACATAGTAACAACTACATGAATACCCAACGTCGATTTTCAGATTTTTAAGGGTAATAAGAAACTAGAGGATTAGCGCTTTCGAAAAAGTGTCGAACATTCTTCCAACGATAACTTTTTCAAAAAATAGTCCCGTTGTCTGTTTTTCAGGGGTTTGTGGTCCGATTTTTGAGAATGCGCGGGCTTTTCGTTCAAACGTGTATAACTTCCTTCAGTAACCTTGAAAATTTACAAAAGTTAATATGTTTTGCAAATTTGTAAAGCTAATTAGAAACTAGAAGACTGACGCTTTTGAAAAAAATTATCAAATTCACCTGAGTGATCACTCTTAAAAAATCGCCCCAACGTTCCTCTTTCCCTCTATGGCTTTTCAGGACATTCTCCTGAAGCGGAGTTTTCAACCTTCAAATGGCCAAAGTTCCTTCAAAGTGCTACATTGAGAAGCGGTAAAAGCCTTTGAAATCAACAAGATCGGTACTTTATAGCATATGTTAGATTACTTAAAAGGAAAACTCCTCCTGCCAAAAGTTTTTATTAGGAGTCTAGAGGTCTAGAATTTTCGCACTGTGCTCATTGGGGCATGATGTATTTTAGTGAGTAATCACACTCTGGGATGCGCCATTCAATCGTTTGTGGTGCGTAGTCGCAGTGTTAGTTTGAAGTTTGTCCTCTTAGCTACTTGATACTGATACTAAATGGTACTTGAGCTTACGACCATTTCCACTGGCCAAATACGACCCCCCCCTTGTTTTCTTTGCGCAGTGTGCGGTTGACTGTTCCAGGATGTCCACATACTTTTGGTACGCACTGTATTTGAAATTGCTGTTGATCCTATTTGCACATGAAGCTGTGTTTATAAATAGCTCAGATAGCTCAGATAATAAATAAATATTAAATTTTCCAATGAAGTTGCTTCTATGTACTCAACCAATACGGATGTGGAGGTGGCATCATGACCTCTGAGTTATCCCACTTAATTAGGGCTGCTTCGCACCTCGGCGCGAGGCATCCCTTAATTAGGTGCGAAGAAACAGAAATCGTACCACTTTTAACCCACCCATATCATTATCTAGTGGCCTCATTTTGCACCGCGATGTGCGGCGAAAAACAGTACAGCAGTTATTTGAATGGAACTCAAAAACACTGTTTGTTTTAGAAAGGTTTTGTGGACAGACAAATACGCACACCGATATTAAAGAAGCCAACTTCTTTGGATCGAGGAATCAGTATGTTGGTAAGCTCTTTTGAAAGCATTTCGGCTGTTTTCTTCCGATGAAATAGATGATTACTTGTCTATTATTTAGTGGCCGGATCTGATTGCGGGTCTCTATTGTTATGGGAGCGTAGCTCCGGTGTACTTGTTGCTGCATGGAATGCTGACCAATCAATCCTTAACATCGTTCAACCACATCCGACTCAATTCATGCTAGCTACGTCCGGCATTGAGGAAGTTATCCGATTTTGGCAACCTATGGAGGAGGGCAAAGAAGTGAGTCAAGTGATTTCCATTTGTAGAGTAGTCTGTGGTTCGCACTAATCTAGTCACACATTACCGAATGAAAGGAATGAATGAAACGCTTGTGGTTTTCCTTGTCTCTAATAGTACTAACCAGGCAAGGATGGTTGGTCGAAGTGGCCATATGTAAAGAGACCTACACCACTGGATGCGTTTTTGGACGCTGATCTCGAATCTGCTTCTCCAAATCTGCCAAACGATTTTCCGAACGGAGTTATGAAGGAAAGTAGTGCAGCGGTAGTAGTCCGGGTTCACGTGCGAGACGTCGTAGGATCGATTCCCTGGCGGGTTCTCTTTTTTGCCTTCGCTGCAAAATGATTGAAAAAGGCTCCCAACTACCTTACTCGATCAATGCTTGCCTGTAGTTACCCGTGCAAAGACTTTGCGAGGAGTTTCTAATCAGTTTCGGCGGTACCTACTAAAGACCGCACATGGAGCTCGCAAAATTCGATATGTAGCATCAATGAGTGACTCGCCCACTTTTCTTGAAGTTAATTCAAAATCTCGAATTTTTCTAGAAATTGGCCCCAGGAGTTATTGGACTACTTGAACACAGATCTCACATTCGTTCACTCAAAAACGGCTGAAGCGCGCGCTCCGTATACTGGCGCGCCTTAACCTTATGTAGTGGCATGTTAGGAAAAATTTCGAAGTTATCGACCTCAAACTCATCCAAAAGCAAGTAGGGCTGACCAATGATGAAGGAATCATGTTTCACTACTGCCAAATAGTCAGTCACAAAAATGCAAAAGGGAAAACACGCGGCGGATCCGAACCACTGACCCCGAAATCCCAAGCCCACCACCTTAACCACTAGGCCACCAGCACCGATCAACGATCCTCACTGCTTTGTTCACAACCCGCTGCTGCTGAGGCCGATTCGTGTAAACCCATAACGGACGGCCAGTGTATTTGTTGCGTGCGCCACCATGTGGCGCACGCCGCCACCCAGGGTAGGGTTTATGTAGGCTTATGCGAACAGCAGGGTTAAGACGGGGCTAAAGTAGGTGTCCTTGTCTCATCATCCAAAGAAGAGATTTCCTTTGACGACAACTTCGTAAGTGTATGTAAAATTTATTGTAGGTTTGTCAAAAATCCACTCGTCCAGGTCCTGGGAAGATATGTTATTCCACATTGCTGAGAGTATACACTGCGTTTCATAATTATAGGTCCACCCTAAATTTTTGCTACCCCAAAGTTGCTGTGCATTTTTTGGAAATGCTGCTATCACCGTTAGATTCCTCATCACGGAAAACCTTCATAGTGTTTTTCTGACAAATTCCCCCCTCAAGTAACCCAATTAACTTTTTTAGAACGAATTTTCACCGTTTCATGAATATCGGGCCACTCATAAAAAGTTTCCATTTCTCACGATCCGTGAAGGGAATCAGGGAAGCGGGGAAATATGTGGGCTCAGTCGACATCGAGTTTACCATACCTCGTGTTATTCGCCTCTCTTCCCAGTAACAAGCTCAAGCTAGAGCACTTACTGAAGTGGGATAGCTGAGGAGCAGAATTTCCTCCCATGTCGGCCGGCTCATACTGCATAAGCGACTATGTGCAAAATCCTGGTCAGTGCGGAGAGAAGAGTCGCTTAGGTAAATAAAGACTGCGTTTCCTTCAAAATTTAGGAGGAATTGGGTGTCTTCTCTCGAATTATACAAGGAGTCCGAACAAAGTCCGTACTGAAATGCGGCCTTCCGTGAGCAAAACCACCGTGTGGTGAGTAAGCCAGCAGAGCAATAACATCTTCAACGGATTGATGAAGAGCGTTCCAAGATTATTTGAGCGCTACAAGATCGCAAGTCTCCATTTCTCCGTGGAAAAGGGCTCAACTTAATGAGCGATGGTGTGGCTGTTAAGACCCTTCGCGATCTTGGACTCTACCTCCTTGTTTCGTTCTACAGGTGGTCTGAGATCGACGTGGAAAAGTTTATTCTAGGTGGATATGGCAGAAAAAGAGGGTACAGGATGATCGCGTGAAAATCGCAGATGGTTTCAATGTAACGTAATTTCGGGTGAATCCCTTATGGTTTGAGGCACCTTTGAACGACTGAGTAGCTAGAGCTCGCTTTTGTTTCCGTTCACAAAGATTCCACAGGGTATCGTGAAGTTCTTTCGAAGCGAGTCTTACCATTTTTTCAACAAGGATCCCCTCTATCCTTGATTTTCACACACGATAACGCGGCTGTCCATGCCGGTCCCTCCGCGCCAGATGGAATTGCAGGAAAAAATGTGGCAGTTATCTGGTGGCCACCATGTTATCTGAATTAGATTCCAATAGAGAATCATTGGGCCTTAATTGTTATAAAGTTCCACAGCAAAGTAAAGCAAAATGGAACAGCCGAAAAGCTGAAAAGGTCGATCATCGGCGCCCAGACGAATTTCGATCCTACTGTAATAGCTAATTTGGCTACCAGCATTTCAAAACGTATTATTGTGTTCCTTATGATTATTGGGGGGTCATCCCATTATTGAAAATTCGTGACGTTTTTTCGTTATAGTAAAATCTCTCGACAAGTGATGTGTAGTCATATTTGCGAAACGGTGAAAATACGTTCTAAGGAAGATATTTTAATAATTCTGAATCGAGATTTCTCCAGAAATCAAGTATCAAGGTTTTTCGTTATGGGGAAACTATTGGTAATAGCGGCATTTTCCAAAAATGCACAGCAACTTTGGAATAGCAAAAATTTAGGGTGGACCTATATTATGAAACGCAGTGTATAAAAGTATATTAACCCATAACGGACGGCGTGCGCCACATGGTGGCGCACGATTATTTCTTTTGTTTTTGAATGTTTCTAGCAATCTTAATATACCCGTATATACTCTCAGCAATGTGGAATAACATATCTTCCCAGGACCTGGACGACTGGATTTTTGACAAACCTACAATAAATTTTACATACACTTTGTCTTAATTTACATAATAAATAACATTAGTGTCTTTATATATGATTAAACTTTTCTATTTGTAAAATTAAAACTGTTTTTGTTTTTGTTTTTCGATCTCAACATAAACCCCCTTATTTAGCCCGACTTTTGCCTGTAAGCCTCACCGTACAAAGGTTGTACCATGTAAAG